GTTGTTTTTACATGTTTGACAGAGTTCATAAAGCAAGAAAAAACTTTTTAAATCAATTCAGCTCCGTCTTTCTGTATCGGCCGACACTAAACCTCAGTTATCCTTATTGGCATCAGAAGTGAAAAATGTGGTCTGATATTTGTTTGAACAACGTGCGAACAAAGAAACTCTGAAACTGAATGTTTTTGTTTTTTTACCAGATAGCTAAAAGAAATCAAGTTCATAATCTTACCTGACCCAAAACTATTTGTCTGAATAGTAGATGGTGAAAAAACCAATGCATCCAAAGTGAATGAAAATATCTGGTTTCAAATGTAAATTTTAGAGTTTTAAACTTTTACTTTTTGCCCTTTACAATTCTCATCTTTACAGACTAACAGAAGTATAACCAGTGGAAATCAGCTGGTAAAAAAGTTCAGAGCCTCCAGACTTCCTGGTTGTAGTTAGGTAACTGCAGCTTCAAAACACAAACATTTCATTAAGATTTATGGGTGCCAGTCTTTTATTTTGCACATCATTACCGTCTGTGCTTTCCTGACAGAACATAAATCCAAATTTATCCTTCTAGTGTGCAAGGGAAAAGCGATCAAGCTTTCCTTTCAGCCGACGTAAAATTTTAGCAATCTAAAAGGCGGTTTTGAAAACTGTAACTTTTCACAATCTGTTATACCTCGATACAGTTAATCGTTCCATTCCTAGTTATGTTTTTATTGAAAATATAACCACAAAAGCAATTATAACTAGTATTTATTGCAAAGACTAAATTTTTACTGTGTTCTTGTCCTGAGTTTTAAACAGTTTCTCTATTTTCGAAAAAAGACTAAAGTTGAACTTTAACTCATCATAGAAAAATGAAGTGACTGATGATTTCTGTTGCCAATTCTCCATATTACATCGAAAAGTGGCAATAGGAACAATGTTATATTACGTTTAAATGCAAATGAGAAGAAATCTATGAGCCGTGCATTCTGCTTTAAGCAGGCAGGCGGGTGGAAAGTTCAAGATAGAAGTGATGAAAACAAGAGAGAAGAGGGAAATGAAGCTCGACTGGAGGGGAATAAAACATGGCGACGTTAGAGGAAAATAACACAGAGACAAAGGAGAAAAGCTAGAGACAGACACTGGAGTAAACACGATCCATCACTGCTGCTCCGAGATCTCTCCGAGACCCGATCCACTTCCTCCTGAATACTGATCTCCTGTGCTTTTTTCTCACATCGTTTTTCTTTTGCCACGGCCAATCGGTCTCTGTTCTCCTCGCCCCTAATTTGTTTGCGTCAGATCTCCATTTGTTCTAAAACAAATAAAACCATCTCACCCAACTCGTTTGCCTGATGACAGGATTAGAGCCAACCATTTGGGCGTTTCTTTCTTTCTTTTTTTTTTGTGCAGCTGTTGGAAATGAGTGGTAAACCTGAGTAAAACCTGCGAAATGCACATTTAATAATGAGCGGCTAAAGATGAAACGCAGCACAGAAGCCAAAGGGGAAATTTGCAGATGGTGGCTGAAGAAGGAGAGACGAGCTTGTGTGGGAGAAACATCAAAACTCTAAATGAGCCAAGAAGCTTCTCCAACGCAGAGCCGGACTCTGTTCAGCCTCTTTGCCCAAGTCCACCCACTGAAGCACGGCTTCCTGTGGTTATTAGACTCTTTTAAGGTCTGCCGTGATATTAAAGACTGACAGGAGGCCTTAAAAAGTAGGACTCAAGCCCGTTGACCTCCGATACATTTCATCACATCACAAACACAAACTTGAATGATTTTATTTTCCTGTAAACTCAGATCTCCAGGTGAGATGATTTTATCAGTAGGCAGTTTGCTGAAACAGGCTTCACAGAGATGAGGTGTTTCCATCCAACTGTCATGCGAATTTTGATTAATTTTTGAAATTCCTCTGAATGCCCCCTGAACTGCAGGTCTAGATCTGTAAAATATTCCAAGTTTTGTGCCTCTGATAAGGCACTGACAAACCAGTGCATGGGAATGTTGGGTAGGTTGAGAGTTATTCACAAAATGTGTTTCCATGAATTCACTCGTTTTTAGAAAATCTAAAAACCGCCTCAAGCAAGAGCAAAAACGTCTCAGCAAAATAGAGAAAGCAGTTTTGGATTTTGGCGTTTCCAGTCACCTTTTCGAACGTCGTACTTCAAAATGCGCATGCCACAATTTTCCTCTGCATATCAGGCAGGCTCTATCGACCACTGTGGGTAAATTTCATTTGAAAACATGTTCACGCAACAATTTTTAAAGAAAAAAAGGAGTGATCTTAGTGGAATCAACCTTCTACTTTTAATTTCTGGGTTGGTTCTTAACTTGTGTAGTGACCACTTGTCCATGAGAAAAAAAAACTATTCAGACTGATTAAACTAAAGGCAAATATAACTAAAATAATCACTTGTATTATGGACTATATATTCCTAATGTTATTATATCGCACAATCAAGTCATTATGTTACATTTCATTGTCATAAAAAAGAAATACAAGTAAATTTCAGTATTTGTTTACTAAAGTCAAAGAGTTCAACTTTTATTCTCAGGTTTAAACTATCGGGCTAGTTGACAGTTGCTGTTTTTAAAGGGGCAGTGTTATGTACTTTCCTTGCATATAGTACAATTTTATAGCTCAATCAAGTGATTGTTACCGTCATCGCTATAAACATGCTGTACATATCAAATGTGCCTTGAAAAACATTTGATTTTGTAATTTAATGCCTTGAAATTGGGTCTCTGTCTCTTTAAGAAATTTCTGCTCTTTCTGAAACTCCGCCTTCAGGAAGTCATCACAACATGGCTCCTTTATAATTCCTTTACCAGGGTTTCACTGAGAAGTAGCTCCTATAATGAACTCGGCGGATGCTCAGTTCCACCAGGTGTTTGCTAATCCCTGCTGGCTAGTCTGAAGGAGCTGAGTGGGGGAGTTTCTGAGGTTGGGCTGCTCTGTGAGGCAGACGCTTGGAAACTGCAGCTCTGAGGAGGAGCTTTGTTCCTGAGGATGGAAGTAGTTCCAACAAGATGCTTTGAACAGCTGAATGGTTGCCATGGAGATGCAACACTCCAGATCTGTTTTTGATATGAGAATAACATTGTAACGTGATGTAAAACACTAAAACTTACATTTTATATAACAATGCATGCCATGGCAGTAGGTCAGAGCTAAATTGTCATATGCGATCAGTTGCTGCGTCACCTCCTGCAGCAGAGGAATGAGTCTCTCACTCATTGCTTGTTTTTCAAGCCTGACCTGGCAGTGTGTAACCTGGCTGAGTAGGTGCGCTCTCCAGGGAAGAGTGTGTTGCCAAGGACGTGTTGCCAAGGATGCTTAGAGCGGTGCTTGGCAGATTATTACCACCGCTGAGGACATGAGGCCCAGCGCCGGGGGACGGCTTTAACAAGGTCGGGCTGCACAACTTCAGGAGCGGTAAGAGTGTAGAGACCGGCGGAGAGGGTGGAGGGATGGCAGCTTCCGGGTCGCTAGCTGATCCAGAGGTTCTGGCTCACATTAGCTAGCTGTTTTTTTTTTTTTTTTTTAAAGTATTAACACAGGGTACATAACAACCCCCCTGAGATGAAGCCATCTCTATGCTGCAGGCAGACTGCACCAGTTGGGAGGGATAAGTGCCTTGCTCAAGGACGTATCCACTGAGAGTGAAGAATCAGGTCCTCCTGCTTTTATCGTCCCTCGGCTATTCATCATTGTCATTCCCTCATTTTTTCATTTTTTATCAGTAACAATCACCTCCAAACATCCTCCACTCATCTTCACAGTCCCAGCGCACCTCTCCCCTCTGCTCCCTCCATCACTGTCTTTACCTCCCACGCTTCATATCCTTCCTTACCCACCACCAACAGCTTCGGTTATTACTCTAGTGGGCAATGATGAATGTTTGGGCGAAGAGGGCGGAGCCGACTGACTGAAGGAGGGGGGGCGCAAAAGGGTGTTTGAGTTGCAAACCTGCCACAAACTGGAATTACAAAAACAAGTTTGCCTAATGGAAACACGACAATTTCAAAAAATAAAACGTTTTTGCACAAGGATTAAGTGGTTATTCGGCTGTATCGAAATGAGCATATTTTCCAAAATTGCAACATTAACTTTTCCGGATCACGAGTCACATGACCAACGATTAGATGTCACTACTGAGAGTCGACAGGAAGTGGATGGAGCATGATAGCGTGGTATGCTTTTCTAACGACTTATTTACAGGTGTGACTTTAATCAAGTATCTTATATAACGGAAACTTTGCAATTGCAAAATTGTGCTTTTTTTGACAGTGTAGTGTCAACAAAGTTCATAATGCTATTGATTTGTGAAAGGCTACAGAGCCTTTAAATGACTGAAAACTTGTTTTCATGCCAGTGTTCATAAACTTAAACTAGTTTCTAAGACAAAGATGGAATATTCGCTTTTCATTTTTGATTTTTCCAAAGCAGAAAATGTTTGTTTTGTGTTTGTAAATAAATAATGGATGCTTTAGATGTTTGATCCTCAACCATGTTTTTTGTTTATCTTCTGAGAAAAAAAAGGAAAAACATTAATTATAGAGGTAAAAAAAAATTTAAATTGCAATAACTCTGTAGGTAACTTCCTGCCTGGTATTTTCCCATATAAATAGTCTCAGAGCAAATGTGGGTTTAAAATCTGTAACAAAATAAACTTTTATGTTATTCAAGGACTGGGGGGATGACCTGAAGAAATTTCTACTGATTTTTATTATCTCTCCATTGTTCCGAACAAGAACGGACGCAAAATCTAATTTATTTCAGTATTTATTTGGCAAAGAACATTTCACATATCAAGTAATGTTAATGGGACAAACTTCACCGTAAATCTGTTTTCTCCTACAATTTTGCTTTCAAATCTCAGAGGCAATCAGAAAAATAAAAAACTGCCCAAGTTCCAACATTTTCACCCATTTGCTTCAACTGATCACATTTCTAACAGTTGCCAAGACGATGACATTCAAACCAAAGTTACAGTGAAAAGCGAAAGACACTTACTTCCTGTCCAGAGAGGTAGTACGCTGCCAAGAGCCCCCCGATGAACCGAATGTTGACCTCGAATACGGACACCTCGGCATTCTGGGGAAAACAAGAGAAACAAACTGAAGATGCAGAAAATCATGGCGGACATGTAAACACTTTAGCTCGCTGTGAGTGACAGGAGCATCACAATGGCAACCAATATCGTCATAGCAACAGACCAAACCATTGTCGTCCCACGTCTTCATAACATTTTGCAGCTATAGAATGAATCCCTCCAAAGATTTAAGGAATTCATCTTCACATACTGAAATCCGCTTTCCATACAATCTGAGTGAGCTCATTTTAAAGGAAACACTCTTATGATGCCATGTTTGGACTTGGGGTTCATGAAGTGTCACTTCCTGTTACCCGACACGGTTTCTGAAGCTTCTCTTTATTCATTGACTGTGAGATTTCTGCCCTTTTATGTCAGGACTAAGACACCTTCACAATAAACTTATCTAGTGAAAAAAGGAGAGCTTCTTGTTAAACTCCATCTCATATTCAATCACAGCCATTTCATTATCAGTAGATTGCCATTTCTTCACAGAACAGGGCGGCTCATGTATGGAGACCCGTTCTTCCTTTGAACAACCTCCCTCTATTCTCATGATCCGTTTGAAGCAGGACTGATTCTGGGCTGGAAGAGATTAGAATCCCTCCGAAAACAAAGGAGACCTCTTGCCTTTGATGCTCTGTTAGGATTTTTCTTCTTCTTGCATTCAATGAGCAGGACACAGACATCTTTACGAAAGATGTAGCTTCAACTTTCTTTTATATTCAAAGTTAAACTTTTGGATCATTTGCAAATATCCACGTCTGTAACTGAAAAGGGACACAATTTATTGATGACCGAGTTAATCTAAGGTTAACTCAGCTTATCAATTGACTTGATAAGTGGACACTTCTTTATAACTAGAGTTTTTTCTTGTGTCGAGAGAGCCAACTGTCTTTCCATAACATAAAGGGCTCCATTTTCTATTAACGACTGAATGTAATGTGAAGAGCTTTGGAGTCCTCTGGACTTGATGAAGGACTATTAATTCTCTTACATTCTTGTCTTCACACCAAATCAGTAATTTTTTGGTTGAGAAGTTGAAGCTGCTCCGCATGACAATGTATTAAGGTCACTGCAGATGGAAAAAAATGGCTACATTTCCACCAAAAAACTAAAATTCTGATATTGACCTCAGAAATTTCTAGAAAAAAAATTCTAAGCTTGTAAAGTGTAAGCCTTTTACCTTTTGGGAAAGGTTTGACTTTTAGATCAAAGACATTTCCAAGCTTTTTCCTAGAAAATTTCTGAGATCAATCTCAAAATGTCTGAATTTTCAGTGGAAAGTTACTCCTCGTCTTGTCTTTTAAAAATGGCTCTAATACGCCATCATAACGCTGTCAAGCAGCACGACTCTTAAGTCGATAACTTTAGTAGCTTGTTGAATGTTTATATTTCTAACCACAGCCGCATAAAATGCTTTTTGCATCCAACACCAAATTCTGTTTCTCTTTCTCTTTCCCGTTATGGTATGGCCCCGCCATCTTTATTTCTGTATCAACTGGTTCCGCTTCTGTCCGGAGGCCAAACTACAACACTAAAATAGGGTCAGGACGGACATTATTAGTTAATCGAAAATTTGAACTAATTTTAATCTACCAAACCATTCTATAGACAAATAATTGTAAGTTGATTCACTCAAATATTTAAAATGGAGTAAAAAACTACAAAAAATGATGCAAAAATATTGAGAGTTCATTCAACATACAATATCTAAACTTGGGTCTCCCTGATATAGATCAATCATTTTGTCCACAGATGCATTCAAGAGTGGAAAAACCTCTTGTAGACCTTTAAACGCAATGATGCCTTTTATTTTGCTGTTTACATGATAAACTTGAAGTGAGTGCAGCTCTAAGTGGCTCTAGTTGGAAGAGTAGGTCACATAAAAGTTGAGAAAGTTTTACAGCAAACGTCTGCAACATTTCTGCTGAAGGCAAAAAGAACATGGTGGCTGCAGCGCGTCTGGGCGTGTGGCTCAGTCACACTTATCTATTGATAATGCATGCTTACTCTCTCTCTTCTAATTGAAGAGCTTATGCCCCAATTATCCAAACTGATAGAACATGCGATGTTCTGTCAGCACCACGGATGGTTGCTCCTACATGGAGCCTGCTGCAGGCTCCATGTAGGCGGGGAGTGAGTCCAGCTGTGGGCTTGCAGGCGCACCAGAGATAAGAAGGGAATGAATTTGCTCCTAGCAACCAAATAATGAATAAAAACCCACAAAGTGGGCACTTCTTAAGGACACATCCATCCTTTAGTTTGGATGTTTTGTTTTACTGTACATTTTATTCAAAATTGTTTTGGGAAATGGTTTCATCTCCAGAAAACAAAAACAGCATGACTCAGCAGTTTGTCATTGGTTCCTTTGCTGCACGTCTTTCAATCAATCAATCAATCAATCAATCAAATTTTATTTGTATAGCACATTTCAGCAAGGCATTTCAAAGTGCTTTACATCATAAACACAAGAACACAAAATCATGCAACATATAATAGACAATACATTGTTACATATTACATTTCAAAAACAATTCTAAACAGGTGTGTTTTTAATTGCGATTTAAAAGAAGTCAGGGTTTCCGCTGTTTTACAGTTGTCTGGAAGTTTGTTCCAAAGTTTTGGTGCATAGATGCTGAAAGCTGCTTCTCCTCTCTTGGTTCTGGTTCTGGGGATGCAAAGCAGTCCAGAACCAGAAGACCTGAGAGGTCTGGAAGGTTGATACAACAACAGCAGATCTTTGATGTATTGTGGTGCTAAACCATTCAGTGATTTGTAAACTAACAACAGTATTTTAAATCTATTCTTTGAGCTACAGGGAGCCAGTGGAGGGACTTTAAAACTGGTGTTATGTCTCTATCTTCCTGGTTTTAGTGAGAACAGGAGCAGCAGCTTCTGGATCAACTGCAGCTGTTTGATTGATTTGTTGGACAGGCCTGTGAAGACGCTGTTACAAATCAATGCGACTAAAGATAACGCATGAATGAGTTTCTCTAGATCTGGCTGAGACATTAGTCCTCTAATCCTGGAGATGTTCTTCAGGTGATAGAAGGCCTTTGTAATTGTCTTTATGGCTCTGAAGGCTCAGGTCAGAGTCCATCACTACTCCCAGGTTTCGGGCCTGATCGCTAGTTTTTAGTTGTAATAACTGAAGCTGTGCATTGACTTTAGATCGTTCCTCTTTAGGTCCAAAAATAATGACTTCAGTTTTGTTTTTGTTCAGCTGGAGAAAGTTTTGGCACATCCACACATTTATCTGTTCTAAACATTTATTCAGTGATTGGATGGGTTCAGAGTCACCTGGTGACATCGTAATGTAGAGCTGTGTGTCATCCGCAGTTATGGTAGCTAATATTATTTCCTGTTAACCTGAGCTAGTGGGAGAATATAAATATTAAATAAGAGGGGTCCTATTCCACCTTAATCTGACTTCCTGTCAGATTAAGGTGGAATAAAGACTACTAGTGCCAAAAAAAGCATTGTAAAGTCAATTTCACAGAATTTTAGCACACAATGAAAGCATCAAACTGGGCAAGAATGGACTCGACAGCTAGAGATAATTTCTCTTGATCTACTGCTTTGGCCGATCTAACTCCTCACCCTTACATGGGTGATTAATGACATTGTTAACCAAGTCTATTAACCTGGAGGCTGAAGGTGGATGCAGACCTCCTGCTGACACATCCATCAGGTGAAATCGAGCTACGGCGTCAGGATCCAACCTGGACACCTGACAGTCCTCAGTGTGCTCAGTGCCTGGCTTAAGCCCGCATGGCAGCTATTCAATTAATCATGACTTGTAAGGTTTTTGGAAGGGGTGATAAGCAGGTCAAATTCAAATTTACTGATGAGATAATATGGTGTTTGTTTAAAAATGATCAAAACACAGAAAACTGCAAAACACACAAAACATGAGTTCCTTTAAATCAAAACTAACAACCAACCTGTTTAAAGTTGCTCTAAGCCATAATAAACGAAACATTCACCAGCATATCTGATGCTGGTTTTATTAATGGTTTTATTGATTGCACTTGACAAAATGTTTCTGATTTTCTCAAATGTTCACAAGCGCTGACTATATGATTGATGTTTAGGATATTTACACACTATAAAGCACATTGATCTATCTGCCTTGTTGCTGAAATGTGCAATATGAATAAACTTTGACATGACTGCACTGATGGAGAAAGACAGTAGGTGGATAAATGAGGGACCACTGCCCTGCATGTTTTATGTGTTTCCCTTCTGCCACACACCTGACTTGAATAAGTGAATAATTAAAAGGCTTCTACAGCAAGTGAGACAGAAAACATGCAGGACAGTGTACGAGAGGACAGACTTGAGGAACACTGGCAAGGACCAAAATCAGATTAAACAGTTTAAGGTCACAAAGACACAAAAGACGAAACACGAAAGTCAGTAGAATCAAGAAGGGGAACGCTGCTAGCACTAGAGGTCCTGTTGGTGGAGAAGGCCAACCAACCAATGGAAAAGTTTGGTTGGTACACAAGAGAGATAATGAAGAGAGTGAAGCCAGGATGGAGTGGAGGGAGCCTGATTTCAAGGGTGATTTTTCAAAGATGCAGAGCTGAAGAAGTGAAGGGTAGAGGATGATGGTGAGACCAGCTGAAAGGCTTTAATATAAAGACAGGTGGCAGAGCTGGATGTGTTCGGAGATCCACTGGGAGCGACGAAATGGACAAGAGTCCATCAGAGCAAAAGCTCACGTCAAAGAGACCGGAGAGGAAGTTCGAGAAGAAGAAGAGCGGCTTATGCGGACAATTGGAGTGGATTGGAGAACGCCTGCGGAGAAAGATGGAGGCAGAGGAGTTAACGTGGCGACCCCCTGAAGGGAGAAGTCGGGAGAATTACAGCTCCTCTCGTTCAGGCGCAGAGGAGTAATTAAACTAGACTAAGAGCGATGCTTTCAATTGCCTAAATGGAAATCCAAACAGCCAGCCTCGCAGCTCTTTAATGCAGGCCAGGCACAGCTGCAATCTTTAGGGCTCAAACGATCCGTGATGTAAGAGCTCAACCTGATGCCATTCCTGCTGCCAATTACACCGCCAGGCCTCTTTGGAGTGTCCAAAACTGCTGTCCATCCAAACCTGATTAGCAAAGGACCAGGGCAGCAGGTAAGTAACTGTGTCGCAATAAGCAATTAATCGCATAATAAATTAAAATGATATTGATCATTTCCATTCTGATGGTTAAATTTTTTGTGGGGTTCCATGTTTAGTGTGGATTGTTCTGTATAAAAATAAAGTTTATTAGAGTCTGAAAAAGCAAACTTGATGGCAAACTCACATTATTATGCCGGTGACACTTGAAAATGGTCTCAAAACAACAATATCATCGTTTATCGCTCTGGACAATTTAATGTCCAGTAAAAAATGTTTTTATTGCGACTGGCCTAGAGGTTGGGTGATGTCATCCTCATCCACCCAAATGTTTCCATGATGCTCCACCATCAGAGAAAAAAACACCCAACACTCCTCTGCCTAATGCATGCAAGGTATGAATCCGAGTCCTTAATGAACGCAGAGTGACACGCCTCCCTCCTCCTCCAGCTTGTTAACAGAAGCTTCAAGTCTCATCCCTCTGTTCTCCTCCCTCTCCATCCTCTAATCCCTCCTCTCCACTGCCTCTTGTGGAGTCAAAGAGGCTCTCTTCTTCTGCTGCTGCCTTCTTAAAGCTTCACACCAGAATGTTTGCATCCCACTCCACTCACGTCCTCCTGTTACTGTCGGGCTGCCACCAACCGGTGTGCTGTTCATGAAGAGCCAGCTGTTTCCAGAAGCAAGTTTTCAATTTTAATAGCTCTTTCAATTTGACTGCCAATCAAAGACTGAAAAAACAAGTCTTTCCCTTGAACACAATTCTTTTCTCTCCGTTTTAGTAACCCTCAAAAGGATTTCCTCTCTCTAACGGCCAACAGACAGTGCCTTTGACCTTTATGACCCAACTGCTGGAGTTTGTGTCAAACCCACACTCATCAATGTTGACTCATAGCACAGAACTGACATCTTCTCATTTAAAAAAAGAAAGAAAGAGAGCTCATCCCGGGCTATGTCTTGACCTTGCTCCTTCTGTTCACGGCTTCTTTTTATTCCACAGCTTGACCAAAGCGATCTGGAGGTTAATTAGCCCTCCAAGTGTTAGGCTGCTGGAGCCCCTTCTTTCTACCTGCTCTGGGACTGCCTCAGGAGGGAGACTAACAAGCTTGGAAGTCAGATGATAGAAAAGGAGGGATGGAGAGAGGTGAAGTGATAACCAAATGTGGGCAGTTAAATTGGACGGATGGGGAAAAAAGTCGAGAAAAATCACAGGAGGAAGCAAAAAAAAAGGATTCACACGATTAAATATGAGATTTATTTCCACACAGGTGGACTCTGTTTACCAACTACATGCAATTTCTAGCACTGGATTACAGGGTGTTTAGTCGGGTAAACTGGGTTCGATTGAGAACTGAAATTGCAACATTTGTCTCATTTTCAGTTGGTGTGATTCACTTTTGCACCGCACTGTGTCAGAAGAACTAAACGCTTTCAACAACCTATTTCCCTCCTCGCCTGTGGTGGCGCTGCACCAAAAACAACATAGAGCCTCTGAATAAGACACTGAGTGCCACTTCTTTCTTCACAAAATATAAACTAAAATGGAGTAGCATCAGATTGTAGCGGTTGTCGGATTTCTCTTTGGCAAAAGACCATCAGCCATTTTTCTCAGTGGAGCTAGACCAGCTTATTTGTTTTAGGGCATTCTCTATTTACCCAGAATGCCCTAGTCCATTTCCTGATTTTGGGGCAGTCACTCTCCAGTCCGCTTGGCGTTTGTTCACATGTACCTTCAAACTGCGCCAGAGCTCATTTTAATTGAACCGAGACAGGAACTTTTAGGCAGATCAGAGTTCGATTCCGCATTCACACCTCAACAAACAAACCGAGACTTTCCAGGCAAACCAACTACAGTCTGATTAAAGCAGACAAAACAAGGTTGGTGTGAATGATGCACTAGAATGACTAGAGTAAAAAAGGCAAAATAAAAGTTTGTGATGCACGATATATCGTCACCAACATCAATAAAGTCCGATGTTGATCAATTTTTAACATATGGGTATCGGTCAATATTACCAACTGACATTGATTTTCATTTTGTTGCCATTTGTGTGTCTTTAAGGGGAGGAAGTTGGTCATGTGATTTTGAGTGATGCAGTCTGGGATGCTTAAAGGAAGCTGACAAACCACAAAAGGAAAGTCATCTTACAAAGTCAAAAGGAAAGAGAAATACATGCAGAATCGATAAATATCAGTTATTGGCCATAACAGCAATATCAATATTGGTCCAAATGTTCATGTCAACGTCCCCCTAAAAAAATGCTTTTTTTTTCCTGATTTTTGTCCCCCTCACTTCCTCAAAAAAAGTTCCATTTCAAGATCATTTGAAATGCAAAATCACAATAAATCAATTCACATTCAAAAATAACAGATTCCAAAAGGAAATTTAATTGAATAAAATAAATACATAAAAAAAGAAACACATTAAAGCTTTTCATGGAACAAAATGTGAGAAGGTGTAAGATTTGCAACTTCTCTTTTTTGTAAGTTCTCTTAAAAAAAGACTGCATGACAGAAGAAGATTAAAAAAAAGACACATGAGTTTAGGAAGGAGACAGAGCGCAGGGCGGAGGAACAAAGAACACAATGCAAAGAAGGACTGCTGTTTGTAGAGGGGGAAAAAACAGCCAATTGAACAGATGGAGAATAAAAAGACAAGACGGACGTAACGGATGAGGAGGGAAAAGAAATAAAAAATCAAACTGTTAACGTTTAGTGTTACTGAGAAGGAGAAACGACCGGCAGACCAGATAATTGCACACCCAGAAAAAGAGAGAAAATTCCAACGGAGAAAAGCAACCATAAACGGTAAAAGAAAGTTATAAAGAAGAAACATAAAAAAAGAAACATCTGGTAACAAAATGAGAAGTGGAATAAACCAGATGAGCTGCAGAGAGGATGGACAAATCCTCCAACTTTTGCAGACCTATAATACAGATTTAAAGCCTAAACTAAATATGACTAAGTGACGTGCCTTATTGTTTCAGTTCTTCCTTGACAACATGACATGTCATTGAAACGATTCCACCTTAACTGGGGCAGATTACCTCAGAGGTGACGGTGGGGTGTTAACAAGGGAGAGAACCGAGGTTTCATTCATCACAGCCTGGCAACATCTGCATATTACCAGATAATTGCACAAAATGGCTTGTTGCAAAACCAACAAATTAGCATGAGTTAACAAATAAGCTCCATTACAGCCAGCAGGTGACTGAACCGTTTGGCAAAACGAAAGGAGAAGCTTGGGATTTCATTTCCTTGGCGAAAATCCTCTGAATCAAACAACAGCTCGTGTTTCTGTAACAAGCGCTGACTATGGTCTCCCAAAAAAGGAAGTTCCCAATTTAATACAAGCTCCTAAGATAATTTTGCAGAGTAAAAGGAAGGTTGTTGCTCACCACACTGAAGTCCAGATTCTGCTCGATCCACTCCTGGCCATCCTTGAACTCTTCGTGTAGACCCATGATGTACAGAGTGTCCAAGGCGTCCACGATGGTCGCCCCGAGTTGGGAATTACCTGGATAAAACACACCCCAAGGTCAGATTCACTTGCACAGTCACACACCCCGGTAGAGAGGAAACATGGACCTCTAATGTGTATTCTATAAAACAGTGAGAAGACATGTCGAGCAAAGTTTCTTTGACATGCACTTTCATTTCAAGATGAAAACTCTGACACCCTCTCCGTCCCGCAAGATAAAGAGAGCGGAGAAAGAACCTATCAATTTTTGAACATCCATACTGCTCCTCTTTGTAGGTTGTTGTGATTTATTTTAAGTTTTGAAACAAGAAATAGAAGCCAAAAAGTAAAGAACAAAAAGTTGGAGAATGTTAGAGTTCTGTACCTTCTTAAAATCTGATGTTAGTAATTATCAAATGGCAATATTATGCATCTTCCAAGCATATAGTCTCATTTTAGAGCACAGTCAAGAACTAGATTATCTTAAGCCATTATAAAAATACTATATATATATATATATATATATATATATATATATATATATATATATATATATATATATATATATATAAATAATGTGACGAAAGAAATTTGACTTCGTAATGTAACGGCTTAAAATTGGGCCTCTGTCTCCAAGGAGCTCCTGCTCTTTCTGAAACTCCACCTTCAGGAAGTCATCACAACACGGCCCCGCTATAAACCCTTCAACATTTTTACTAGTGTTGCTCAGATTTTACATGATGCTGCCTCTTTAAAATGAACTTATTGCACTCCATCTCTGTTGAGGTGTCCATGCAGTGTTCTATTAAGTTAGTCTGCACAAGTACATCTGTGAGGTAAACTTCTTGTCAAATCGTTTTTCAAAGAGTTAAGAATAAATTATATGTCTTATGTGTTGATGGGGTTTGTAATCAAATGTTTTATACACACTCAAAAAAGAAAAACTGTTGAGTGACAAACATTTTCTGGGCTCAGCTCATCATCTTTTTCTTTTGCCTTTCATCCCATTCCAGGGTATGGGCCGCCAAAGTTAGAACTCCAGAGATATCTTTTCCTGGTCCGATCTTTAAAGTCCGTCCCAGGTGTAGTTTATCTTATTTACGTCTGCCTCCAGGTTTTGTCTCCAGGCTTTTCTTAGATGGCCTCTTTTGCTTGCCATGGAGGTTCTGTCTCCAAGTCTGTTTGTTGTTGATGGTTGGCGGATCGCGAAGTTTGTCCTACCCGATGTAGAGAATCCTACAGAGACGGCTTATCAGGAATGTCAGGGCTTGTCCTCCAGATTTCAGCCCCATACAGCAGTGCTGGATTCACATTGGAGTTGAAAAGCTGGATCTTGGTGGTCAGGGTCAGCTCTCTGGATGGCCTGATATTCTTGAGCTGGACAATGTCTGGTTTGCTGGATGTCTTGACATCTGCAGGTGTTCCACCTGGCTGGTTGATAATGAAAGACTGTATTTCCCCCACAGGACTACCATTTAGGGTGATTGAGTTGATGCAATTGGAGTTGTGGAGAAGGATTTTGGTTTTCTTCTTACGGATGATGAGTCCAACCTGTGCCGGAACACCGGTCTCAGATACTTGTGTGATAAAAACGTAGCAAGAGTGACTCTATCAGATCGGCATTTGTTACATTTCAACAGTAAAAGCCGAAGACATTGCCCTTTACGTCCTCCATCTTTTCCTCTCATCTACTGCAAACAACACTAGATTTCCGAACCTGTCCACGATCTCTTCTTATCCATGACTCCGTTTAGAACCGGAGCTCATAGCTTCACGCAGCTGCTGCAATATTATCATCGTCATGGAGCAAAGCCTCTAAATCTCTAAATATACACTGCGGTCAGGCAGGCGGCGATAATGGCAGGATGTCCTGGCTGTCTTCTTGACGGATTGGCTTTGGCTGCTAATGGAACAGGAACCCCTCTTCTGTGGCGCACAACCCCACTCAGTTTCCCTCCACTCTGTTGCTTTCACCTGCAGCTATGCTTCAAAATCAGAAGCGTGACAAAGATATGGAGTTTGAGGACTTTGGCTTTAAGTAAAAGGAGTGCGGCAAGGCTTGTAAAACCTTTTGTTCTCTCCACAAACCGGGCTTTCATGGAAAAGTGGAAGGAAGAAGACCACCTTTCCCACATTGAACTTTTTAAATCAAAGCCCAGTGGGAATTTGTGGCAAGACCTAAAAACAGATGTTCACAATACCTGAGTTTGAACTATTTTGTGGAGAAGAATGGGAGAAAACATAATCTCTGGATACACAGAGCCAGGGAAGACAGAGTGGAACGGAGGTCTGATTTTCATACACCTCAACTGTGTGACATGGAATCTAAAACAATATATAATGCAGAGATTTTGGTCCAGTCCAGATCGTCTCCAGATCTTTCAGGTGTCAGAGACGTTTCTGGGTTCCCGCCAAAGATATTTTGTTGGGTACAGATCTGGACTTCATCTACGCCACTCGTTAGAATCATTGAGGTGATTCTAACGAAGTCACTCCTTAGGTTTCCAGGTTTTGTGTTTCGAGTCAATTTAATGCTGGAAGACAGAGTAATGACCCACCTTCAAAGGTTTGTTGAGGGAAGGAGTTTGTTTCCCGAAATACCACCATACATGACCCCATCCATCCACTGCTCAATTTTAAGAAAAAAATTCCCCATCTTCCGAGTTTCGCAATACTTTCTTATGCTATGATACAACATCCTCATTGCAAGACATTGTATGAGAATTATTTCTATTGCTAAAATTGTTTGAAATGAACATCTATTGTACATATCAAGCATTTCGATTAGATTTTTTAAAATGGCAATGTGTTGTCTAACCTTGAGAAATCTTGCAAACTTAAGAGTTTTCCAACAACCTTATGATCGCACATAAAACAGGAATTCCTCTTTCCGTCTCCTTTCCGCTCCATCACTCACTCCGTCTTTCCATAAGCCCCTCCTCCTACTACCTAACCATCTGTTTGTTCTCATTTATCAATGTCAGGCTGTGTTTTCTCTAATCTTCCTTTGATCGCTCCATCCAAACTCTCCTCTCACCATCTGTACGCACGTTTTCCACATATTTCACACTCTCAAGCATTCGGCTCTCGCCGACACTTCCCTTTTGTCGCGGTGTTATCCGCCACACTCTCCTCCCCTTCGCCCTAAACACGGCCTTATCTCACGTTGCGGTGCTTCTCTGCCCATGTTCACAGATGCTGCTTTCCAAAAACGTCAGGTGCCCAGAGCCGTTGGTGCAACACGGTCTGTATCACATGACGCTGGAGCGGCACTAATCAGAAGGTGCTTTAGGGAAGCCAGGAAGTGCTTATGTGGAACTAATTGGCCAAAATGAGGTGTATTTATTTGGGAAGCGATCATGTCAACCTCGTCCAACACAGACACTCAAAACATAAACCCCCACCACCGCAAAACACACCGTTGTCTTTAACAGCCTTCACTCCTTTTCCTTTGGCTATATTTGCACGTCACACCGTCTGACTAACTAAAACTGAACACTAACTCAATTCATTAGTCTCTCCCCCCCTTCGTTCCATCTATCACAATTTCACCTGCCTCTCTCTCCATTATCTCCCTCCCACTCGCTCTGTCTCCAACACTCACACCACTCTCTGGGCCCTGATGCCAGTTTCATTAGACAACAGGCTTCTGAGCTCTCTGGGGTAAATTCACACAGAAGCATCAGAGAATTATCCAGGCCCCGTTCTGCCCGTCTGTCAAACCGGGGACGACAGCTGAATGGAAAGCAGAGACAAAGACTGTGATGGATGTGTCTGCGTGTTGCACTTGTGTGTTTGTGTGCTGTGAACACAGGAAGCGCGGAACATGAACCCCTTCGCATGTAGCTGCATGAGAAGGGAGTTGATTCTCTCCTCACTGTCATCTGCACTCAAACTGTTCTACCTACACAGTGTTACTTTCTCAGATATGTTATATCACTGTTACATCCCACAACACAGCCCAGTTTTATAGCCTTACACATATAAAAACCGGCAAAGTTGATTTATTTTATAATTCTTTGGAAATAAACAGTCAACGAAGGAATGAAGAAGAGAACATAAGAGAAGGAAAGCGGAACAAAAGGAAAGGAAGGAGGACATGAGAAAAGGAGAGGAATAACAGACACAAGGAAAGATCAGAAAAAAGAAAAGTCAAGGAGGAGGAAAGGAAGCAAAGTAGAAGAAAAGAAGTAAAACAAGGTGAAAGAAAAAGGAGGACGACGATAAGGACGGAAGAAAGAAAGAGAGGGTAGTAGAACACAAGGAATGAAAGGAGGACAATAGAAAGCAAAGACAGAAGAAAGGAAGGACAGCAAAACAAAAAGGAAATGTAAAGAAAAGGAGGACGATAAGGGCAGAAGGAAGGATAGGAAAGTCAAACAAAAGGACTGAAAGGAGGACAAGACAAAGAAAAATGACAGAAAAAGAAGGAAGAATGGATGGACAAAATAAAGGTATTAAAGTAGAACAAAAGAAAGGAAGCAAGGGAAGAAAAGGACGGTCACGGTAGGGAAAGGAAGCCATGAGAAAGGACACAAATGAGGATGGACAGAAGAAAAGAGAAGCACGAAGAGAGGTGGAGCGTGCCCCTCAAAGGAAGAAAGAAATTGGAGAAGAGGGATTGAGGAAAGAAGTTCATATTTTTCCCTGTCTTTTCCAGCACTAAAAGCAGATTCCAGACATTTTCCAGACAGAACCAGAACCCGGTCAGAGTGACATGTCATGTATTTACATCCACTGAACAAGTCGGCTGTAAACTTCAGTGTCACCCAGCCTGAGTTTCTACATGTCAGCTTTTCCTGCAGAGTGAACCAACGCAGTGTTGTTAGCACACATCACTCTGTACCTGGAAGGAAACAAAAACAACTCGCTACTGCAATTTCTAATAAAACCTCACTTTGAAAAAGCACTTTTCACTTATAAACACATCTCCTCCTGCTCATTCATTTAGCATTAATGCTAACCTTTTAGCCCCTGCTAAGCTAACAGTAAATGGCAGCATGTTGCAGTCAGAAACTACTGCGACACCTTAAGCCTGTTTTGCTAATAAGCCTAGC